TGGACAAGCACCTCCAGCTACTAGTATAGCATGTGCAAGATATATAAAATGCCTTTAAGCAACAAGTTGGGTTTCAGAAATAAAAATCTCCATAAAGAACAAAAACTGTTCAAGACAGACCTACAATGAGCACTGAGGTTATCAAGTGATGATATTTGCTTATGTAGAAGCCAAAAGTTAGTGTGTTTTTAACATTTTATGTAATTGCCAAATTCCCTGTGAAGAACTACAATATCCTCAATCCTAAAGTGGGCAGAGCCTTGAATCCACCAATCAGAGAAGTCTGTTACCAGAGAAGCAGGAACCACACCAAAACTACCCCTCCCATAAAGCATTACATATATTAACTAGGAATTACATAACCAACTCTGTCGTTTTTGAAATCCCAGTGGAAGAAACAAATGGGAACAATACTGGGGCGATCACTGTTATCATCCAGAAACATTTGTACCAGCCTTTTAAATTTGTTCACAGCATTTTAGCAAAATGTGCATTCACACTAAATGTTTTTTCCTCAGAGTTTGGTAAAAAGGGAAAAATAATAGATGCCATTTGCGAAACCTTTCGTTTAAGTCCTAATGGAAATGGCAAACACAACGTGTCCTGACCTCTGCATATTCAGACCGCCTAATTGCACATCCAGACTCTGTGCTTTTACAACGCCAGCGAGAAGGCTGCGATCTATTTCTGGCTGCGTGGTCACACTATTGTGTGGGTGCAGAAAACTTCTGCTGCATTAAACTAATTTTCCAGCAGCGCAGCCCACGACAACACTTAAAGTGCAAAACAGGTCATCAAGTGGAGTGAGTGGAAGAGGAGGTCTAATCCATACGAGGAGCTGGAGTTAATTCATCAGAGTGCCCGGCTTGTCTAAACTGCCATTGCCCTGGTGTTCTATTTACATTAGCAGGGGGAAAAAGGCTGTTGCCACGAATGGAAGACGCAGCGAGCAGCTGTCGCGGTCCGAGAGGGCTGATGTAAGGCCCTATTCTCAGCGTGTCCGGGCCGGTTTCAATTACGCACTAACCCTTGACCCCACGCTGCTTGTAAGCAAGAGATGAGAAGAGGTGCTGGGCTTGACGCCTAAGCTCCAAACAGCAAGGACAGAATGGGATTTGGTGGCTCTAAATGAGGAGTTTGTGGCATTGTCCCTTCTCGAAGTGAATGGGATTCCATCTGTAGTGTGTATTTGGGGGATGGGCGGTTGCTTTTCGTTGCCTTTTCGAAGCCGTTTTCTATAGACACGGCTAAACTTTAGAGGGTGGTGTGAGGCCACCTCTTCTGTTCTTCTTTCTGCCCTTTTTGACCCTCTGTCTGTGGTCAATGTGGAGATTGCCAGAAAGAGACAGCTGCACTCCAGGCTTCCCGCCTCAGTTCCCTGTTGCTCTTTGAGCCTTTCTCTGTTTTCCATTGATTTCTCCATCGCCCTCTCCACTGCGTGTATCTGCCGCTTTAGAAAATTTCATCTCTGTGGGGTGGACGAGGGCTAAGTTTCCCAGCCCGAAAATGAGAGAAATTCGAGACCCTTGGCTTTGGCTTCGTGGCAACATTGTCCTTCCTCTCCAGGCAAAGAGAAATCCCTGGGGAAATCAGATAACATGCAGCCACATACAAAATTCAAGGCCGATAATCAAACCGTCAATTGTTGGGATCAAGTCAAATGCGTTTGGCAGACGTGGATGGGCTTTTAAATGCACATCACACAAAACAGCAGGAGCTGGTCTTCCATTACAGTACAAATAATTAATTCCCTAAGAGATTGCTGTAAAGATGAAAGATATCAGAGCATTTCAACGCCAGAGATTCCACACCAAACGCAATCAATTTGAGCCTGCGGTGCGTTTGCTGAAAGATGCTGATGCTGGCAGTTCCTTCTCGGATTCAGTAAGCACAGATTTTTCTCCCTAATTATGGTCAAATTACAGACTCTGGCTGCGGGATCACCAGCCTCTCCTCCCATTCTTTCCCACAATCCTTCATTCTTTTGTGAGGACGGGGAAAATGCGACATATCTGTTTTGAAAACTTGGAGCACGCTGCGGTGAGCTGAAAGTGTCTACTAAAAGGAGCCATTTTAGCGTCTCACATTTTCATGAACTCACTCAGCAGCTCCCTTTGCAAAAAAAGTAGCCAACTGTAATAGAATCACAGTACACAGATGGTATCAAATATTAAATACCATGGTACTGGATGATTACCATTTTCATGTACTGTGGTCTTTACTAAGGATAAGTCGTTTGTCCTGGCTTTGGTATTTTTAGTTTTTAATTTTTAGTTTTCATTTTAATTTTTAGTTTACAAACTGACAACATACTATGAATTGCATTGTCTGAAAAGTGGTGTGTCTCAATTCAAGTACTACAGTCATTCTCAGCAAACAGACAAACTAACCAACACAATGCTGTTTTAGAGCATCTCGCTCTGTTGTGTTTTCAAACTGTTGCATTAAAGGGACAGTTCATCCAAAAATGAAAATACTGTCATCATTTACTCACCATCGTGATATCAATTTTGGTCATATCGTCCAGCCCTACCCTCATGTTATTCCAAACCCATAAGACATTTGTTCATTTTCGAAACACAAAGATATTTTTAATGAAAAAGATGTTTTTAAAAAGAAGTTTATTTCACACTTTAAAAAGTTCATAAACAGATTGTAAAAAGAAATCAAGCTGTTTAATCCAAGTGATCTGAAGAGGAGCTCAACTGTACTTGAGAGAACAAACCTGATTGGTTCTTGCGGAACTCAAACAAGCTTGTGTGACACACAAGAACAAACATGATTGGTTCTCATGTCCAGCAAGCACATTTGATGCACTCTATCTATGTGCGTGCGTTCAATGTTTATATGTGAATAAAAGCCTAAATTAAATGTGTTTGTTATATAAAGCGACCGTGTCTCTTCAAAAAGCCTGGAAAAAAAAAAGATCTATTAACATGAATTTCTCAGCCTTCTACGGACACCTTGGCAATTGAATCGCCATTGGCTAGTAAATTTTTTTGTTTACTCGCCAGACTGATAAAAAAAATAAAAAAATAAAAAAAAACAAATTTAAAAAAAAACTGATTTGCTGAAATCAAAACAGGGATGATAATAGGTGAGCGCCAGCCAATGAGATTGCCGTTTGCACATTAGTTCCGCCCACTAGCGGAGAAAGCGGCAGTTCTTAAACGCTGAAGAATTCCAAAGGAATTCCGTTATTTTGACAGCAAAATACAACAAAGAATATCGTTTACATGTAGCGCGTCAATTCTCTCTCTCTCTCTCTGCGTGTGTGTGAAACAAAGCGACGGGGAGTCGTGCGCCTTCACACTAGAGTTTACGGTACGTTAAATACAGGTGCGTTGCACATCCATTCAGATGAACTGAAAAACAGCACAGATCGCTTGGCGGAGAATGAAACTCTGAAGCGCTCAGTCAGAGTGTTCTGTGAGTGAAAATATAGCTGTGCTACACTTATACTTAACCTCCAACTCACACACTGGCGAGTAAAATCTGAGAATTTATTAGCAATTGGCTAATATTAGACATAATTTAGTCGCCCAGAGTAAGATTTAGTCGCATATGCGAGTGATTTACTCGCAATGTAGAGGGTTGTTTCTTTTGCGATGTCTTTAAGAACATTTTGAAACGTCTGAAGCATTTTGGGGGAATGAGCTTTTAACAGGGGTGACAGACATCTCTCAGGCTTCGTTAAAAAGCTTCATTTTGTTTCAATTATGAATTAAAATCTTTAAAGTCTTTAGAGTTGGTTTGGAGTGACACGAGGATTAAGTATTGAGTGAACTAACCTTTAAGCGTTTTAAAATGAGTCTTGAGACCTTTATTTATATCATGTTGTGCTTCGTTCTGAAACATTGTGAAATGCACCTGATCAGGATAAGATGACCTCAGAACCAGCCTAATTATACGGGTCTACCTTGTGACCTAGGAACTTGTTGATTTCGAAAACAGTCGTTTGGCACATCCCTAGCATTTACATGGTACTCCAAGAGACTTCAAAGAACAGCAATGAACATGATGAAAAACATGAAATTATCATGACACCATGCCCAAAAATCATTCTGCTCGTACCATTCTCTTATCCCAAATCAAAAATTGTGTGTCATCTGACATATTCAAAAAAGGCCCTTTACACTGAGTAAGATATCTGGACCACATGCAAGTCAATGAACTCGCTGAGTCTAAATGCCACAAAAGGTTAATGACTAGCTGTTACGTTACTCAATGGCACACACTTCATTTGACGAGCAGCCAAAAAGCTGACAGCCCAGAAAAAGCAATTGTGTCATCTAGGCTCAGCATAAACATGATTTCTTTTAAAGAGAAAGCACTTCAAAAAAATTGAGAACATTGTCAACATAATTGACATGATAAAATGTAGAAAATTACTTGTCCAAGTGGTTATATTAACGTCCTTAGTCATATGCCATAGTTAATCTGACACAAAGAAGGCTGTGAGGGACAGAAGTACAATCCGTTCAAAGACATGCATCTCAAAACATTTACAAATTTACACAAGAATTTCAACTAGCCAAAGATTTATATAGAAATTTGTTCTTTTCATGTCATAATCTCTTAGGTCGCGGGTAGTTTACGTATCACAATACTGACTTTTTTCTGAATTCATATTAAAGAGACGCCTAATTTTGTGGATGAAAGGATCAATCTGTAACACAAAAAAAATATTTGTTCAAGAAATGTTTCATATGTGCATAACATTCAAATTCATATTGATGCACAAAATCACATTTTACATTCAAAAAATGTATATTTTGTTCACGCTAAACAAAAAGATAAAAGGCGCTTCCATAGAAAAGATACTTTCACTATTTGATCAGCTGCCAATGGAATTTCACTGCCGTCAAACTCAACATGGCATCTACTCTGACTAAAGTCCATACCGTCTATACCCGTGAAACCATATGACATCAACACAACAGAGTGATCACATGACACAAGAAAACAAAAGCACTCTAAACACTGGCAGTGACACTAACCCTTTTTCTGGGGGGTCCTTTATCTTCCTCCTTCCCTCCCCTGACACTCTTGGCATGCTTGGCGGTCTTCTGCTCTCCTGGCTGCTTGATGGTGATGCGGATCTCAGGAGGACAGATGTAGTTCTCTAGATTCTTAGGAGGCTTCTTGGCCCGCTTGGTCGTTTGTATCTTCAGCTTCAGGCTGCCTTCAGAGAAACTGGCCTCCTTGATGGAGAATTCCTGCTCCTCCAGCCCATCTCCCTGCCCCCATCTCTCACTGTCCGCATTAGAAGTGACATCGATGTCCTTCCCCAGACCGAGGTCTTCGTCCTCTTCATGGTCCTGTTGCTCTCCAGGTAAAGGAAGGCTCTTGATTGGACTGGCGAGGAGACCCACCTCACTGAGATCTGCTCTGTTGATGGTGGTAACAGTGGAGAAGAACTCCTCGTTTCCTTTGGGCCGGGCCGTCCGAGTAAGGTCTCTTTGCTCCATCTCGAAGCTTCGTCCAAGACTCAGGAAGCAGAAGGACACAAAAAAGGGCAGAGGGACACCGGTCCAGGTGATTGAGTTTAATCAGAGGGATGTGATGGTTTTTGGCTCTACTGCTCCCGAAATCTTATAAATCTCATTAAGGTGGAATTTTTCCCAGGTGAAACTGAAAGTAGAGTCAAAAAGAACAAATTATTAGGTAATTAAAACTATAAACACATGCGTACATGTCCAGACACGCCAAAGCCTATGTGAAAAAGACATGAAAAAAACGTTTAACCACAATCTCTTACATCTTTTCTATCCAGACATGACACAATAAAGCCCTTTTTTTTTTTTTAGATTAATCTGAGTTTTTTTCGTCCTAACCAGCTCGCAACAAGCAATGAGTTACAAAAAGTTTTGTTAGCACGTGGTTTCGATTTCTGTTACATTGTGTGTTGAGTAGCCCCGCCCCCAGACAAATCTCATTGGTCCAGGGATGTAAACGCAGCTGTGTATTACACAATACTAAATGACTTTTTACTTATTTTTAATAAGAGATTTACCGATACCATGTCAGATATCGGCTGTTATTAGATACGCAGTTTTATTTATCCTCTTTAAATAAAACTTTTTTATCTTAATCTTTAACAAATCTAAAAAAATTTTTTTTTATTATTATAAAAAGAATATTACTTTTTAATACCGTACATTATAATGGCTAAATTCGCATTAAAACCACTGATTTTAGTTTTTACTTTGTATTTTTAATTTATTTAGACACAATAGTACAGAATTTTACTATCTCCATTTATCAGTTATTGGCCATTATATGAAAATAATTTATGGCTTTACTGATTGAATTTAAATATAATTTTTAAACACTTCAGTACATCAGACCGGTGTATGGTGATTAAACAATTCCTCAGTACCGTAATTCCTATTTAAGTGGCCTATTTAAGGTGAATTACTGAACAAGACAAATGTGTCTTTGTTAAACCACCAATTAATCAGCATTGGGATTTAAGCACACAGTCTTCAACCCGAAACAGTTGTACCGCTGGCTCCAGGCAAACTCCCTGACACCATAATTACATTGCTGACCAGCTCATTTGCTTTAGTGGTCAGTTGAGTAAGCCTAGTCACGGTGTGAAAGTCAACAAATGAGGCCTCTGGCCCAGTGATAAACACTTTCCAGACATCAAACAGACCACAACCTGAGTGAACAGACCACAGACCTGGAAAAGCCCAATTAGGGTCGAACATAACACCTTCGCAGCACACACATAGCATTAAATTGGGTATTGTATGAATTTAGCAGAATTTTTTTCAGGGTACCGTCATTCAACATATCAATTATATATCACTCAAACAAACCATGGCTGACAAAATCCGTCTAAAAATAATTCTAAAAAGCATTCTGATTGGCTCAGACATACAGATGTTATGTCATACCTATGTCGATGCCTGGAGACACACACAGTAGATAAGCCTGACAAAACAAAGTTGACAATAGCCAGAACGGTGGACGGTGGCAAATTTAACACTAATCCTTGAAATAAGCAGTTTCTATTTCGGAGAGGAGTTCAACACAAACTCTCCATTCCCCAAGTGTCAGACGCATGATGTCAGTATTGATGTATATTATAGACGGAGGGTTTGGAGCATTGAGCTCAGTCTCTCATCTGCTGTTGGCTTGTTGTCAGACAGAGCTCAGTGTCATTTACCCTTTCAACTGCCAGACAGGTGACAGATGAGAGGCTACTGAAAACAACGGCAGCTATCGCAAGACAGCCCGGATCCACGCTAGACTAAACAGCTCTATCTATCCATCATATCATGACAGTCAAAATGGCATGATTCTCATTCCAGCCCGTGCCGACTCAAACACAGCCATTCACAATTCCTCAATGAAACCCGGTTGTTTATATCTTACTTGTCTATACCTCTGAATAGTGTCCCAATGCATCTTGGGTGTTCTAGCTATTTGGCAAACAGACTAAAAAAAAGTGACATAACACCACAGTGACCACATACACGCTGCAGCTAAAAATGGTTGTCATTCCTTATTTAAGGACTTAATCCTGTTCTGCACAAACATGGTTCAACATGTGAAAAATACAGTATAAAAGGGTAATTGTGTCTTCATTACTTGTAGTTATGAGTTTATTTCTTATAATCATGAATTTACACAGTATCTTACAATTTTGACTATTTTTTTGTGACTACATTTCACTTAATTGCAACTTTATTTCTTACTGATGTCAATGATTATTTCACAACTGTCACTTTTTTTCCACATAACAGTGACTATTTTTCATAACCATGACTTTATACAGTATCTTACAATTGGGACTATATTTATTGTACTGTAATTGTGACTACATTTCACTTAATTGTAACTTTATTCCTTAAAATTGTGAAATGTATATATCTCACAATTGGCACTTCATTTTGCATAATAGTGACTTTATTTCTTATAATTATGACTTCTATTTCTAGCAACGGTAACAATTTAGTATAGTATAGTTTAGTATAGGGAGGGACCAATTCTCACTATTAACTAGTTGCTTATTAGCATGCCTATTATTAACAAATTGGCTGTTTATTAGTACTTATGAAGCACATATTCTGCATGACCATATTCTACATCCCTAATCCTACCCAATACTCAAACTTAACAACTACCTTACTAACTATTAATAAGCAGCACATTAGGAGTTATTGAGGCAAAAGACACAGTTAATGGTTAGTAAATAGTGAGAAATGGACCTTAAAAAAAAGTGTGACCCTAATAACCATGAATTTATACAGTCTCTTACAATTATGAATGTACATCTCACAATTGGCACGTAATTGTGACTCCATATCTATTATATTTTGTAATTACATCTCAATATGACACAATTTGACTGTTCTTATTTTAAACTTATTTATTTTACAAAAGTGATTCAGTCAAGGACAGTAAGTTATTTTCTTTCTGATGTTTGATTACTGTGCGCCTTTAGCCCCAACAGCAGGGCACAGTTTGATTACTGTGCGCCTTTAGCCCCAACAGCAGGGGGATTTACATTATTGACACAAATGGTAACAGCAGCTATACACATGCATGTATATATTTAAGAAAAATATGTTATGTTTATATATTAAATATATTTATATATAATATAAAATATAAGAATATAAATATATAAATGTATTTATGCATGTAAATATTTCCAAAATATATGCTGTATGTGAGTGTATGTATATATACATAATAAACATACACAGTACACACACATATATTATGTAAACAAAAACTTTTATTTTGGATGCGATTAATCGCGATTAATCATTTGACAGCACTATTTTAAACTTTAAACTATTCCACAATTACTTGTTTTATTTTTTACTATGGAAGCAGAAACGGGCATACTTTGTTTTGGTTATTTTGGGTAGTGACAACCAAATTCGCTCCCTAAATATTAAAATTTGCATAATTCATCACGCACCTTTTGCGCTACTGACATTAATAATACCTTAAATTGGGTTTATGAGGTGTGGTGAGCTATTAATTTTCTTTACTGCAAGTGTTCAATCAGAAAACCTTAGCAACCACCAAGAAACCACTTAGAACAACCTAGCAACTAGGGCTGTGCAAAAAATCAAATGTGATTTTCATGCTCATCTCGTCAGTAAAGCCGCTTCTGGTGATTAGTAGTAAATCTCCAGCACGTGCTTTCAGATGGAGCGGCATTTACTACACAGAGCCGTAGTGTAGTAACGGCTCTGTGTAGTAAATGCCACTCCCTAGCAACCAATCAAAACAAGCCACTAGCACTACTTTAGTCAAAAATATCTACACAATATGGACTAAACTCAACCCTCTACATTGCGAGTAAATCACTCGCATATGCGACTAAATCTTCACTCTGGGCGACTAAATGATGTCTAATATTAGCCAATGGCTAATAAATTCTCAGATTTTACTCGCCAGTGTGAGTTGGATGCTGAGTATATGATTAGCACAGATATATTTTCACTCACAGAACACTCTGACAGCGCTTCAGAGTTTCACTCTCCGTCAAGCGATCTGTGATATTTTTCAGTTCATTTGAATGGATGCGCAGCGCACCTGTGTTTGTGTATTTGGCGTAACGTAAACGCTAGTGTGAAGGCACACGACTCGCCGTCGCGTTCTCTCACACGCGCAAAGAGCGAGAGCCTTACATAACATGCAGAATTGATGCTATTAGTAGAATTCGTATAATAATAATAATAATAATAATAATATCATCTTATCAATATTATTGTTCTTTTTTTTTTTTTACAGGAACACTGACTGACCAAAAAAAGCAGCAGCACCAGTCCCAAGTTCATGGTTACCAAGTTTTAATTCTAATTACTAAACGTCTATTATTAAATAATACTTCATTATCATATTATAATGCTTGACTGCTTGACTGACTGATATTAAGAGTGTACTTTCAGATATTTAAAAAGCTGATATACAGTGGGTACGGAAAGTATTCAGACCCCCTTAAATTTTTCACTCTTTGTTATATTGCAGCCATTT